GATTCGAATCTGCTTCGAGATTTGTGAGGTGTGCGTCAACAACGATTTACAATAAGAACCGTTTCTGAAATTTCGGTCTCCTGCTGCTACCGGTGTGCCAAACATTTGCTCATCTTACCATCTCCCTAAGTCACTTGATTTCTTGACGTGTTTGGCGCTGAAAATCTAAGCCATTGGCTAGGAGGTTTTCATCTTAGAAGCTTGAATTAGGCCAAACAGGACGTAAGGGTAAAACCACTCAACTTACCTGGTGCATTCCCTTACAGAATCCCAACCAGGTACATATTCGGTTTTGCTTTTCGAACACACCTGTTGTACGAGCAATTCATTTGAGTAGCGTCTGCAAACTTCAAACACTATCTAATCAGTACTTATTCATCTACGTACACTGTTCATACACTGTTCACTGAAATGCTGTAGTGTCCAACTTGGTATTCCAAAATGAGCAACTGTCATCTTCGGTGTGGGTGGCAACCAAATGAGTTGGTAGAATGAACGATTGCCGTTTCATCGATACCAATATTTTCGACACTAAGATATGGGACACACAACATCACATTATACGTCAATAAGAAGAAGGCATGTCCCTTATCTCATTCAGACGATGAATAACATCCTTGAGACAGGTTTTTCACCAAAGTTCCTGGCCTGTAGTCTTTGTACTCCGTCAAGATTCAGCCCTAGCCAAAACCTGGAATAGACACTGTTAGAAAACAAAGCTTCCGAGTCAGAATGCCTATTTGACTGTTCCAGAAAGACTACTTCAACACCCTTACAAAAAACGACCGATCTCCGAAAATAGTCTTCTTTGGAAGGAGTTTGCTAATGAAAGAAGCTTCATTGTACTTGTCGAAAGGCGATTCCTCCAGTACTAGCCCTCTGATGCGATTTCTCTAATAAAGCCCATTGCCAAGCTGGCTTTAAGAGTAAAAGACTGGAACTTCCATTCCACATGCACATATGAGTACCATATTTGCTAGATGAAGGGCCTTTTTGTATTTCCTCAATTTCCAGAGAGCTCCTCGTTCAATTTCTTTGGCGAATCAGAGTCTTTCTTCCCCCTTTTCTTTTTTCCCACAAAATACTTTAACTTCATTTTTTATTTTGATTTAATACTGTGAGCAGGTAGATAGAGGACAATGCACTTAGAGTTTGATATTGCAAGTGATATCAACCGATGATGTTTGATTCAGCAGCCTGTGTCTCCAGAATCGCTTAGGTGAACAGGATATCGTGATCTTCCCGCGGAAGAATATACAATGCGAACACGACTGGCTGATCAGCGTTTGATTAACTCGCACTCAGGCCTTCCGAGCATACAGTTTGTATCACGTGATGTGATGTTGACTCACGCCTCAAGTGAGGATACCGAGGGATGAGTCACACATTCTTATCACTGTTTTCCGGGAACGAGTAAAAAATGCACAAGCGATAGTCTTACCCCATGTGAAACTTAAGATTTCGGAAGTAAAGAATTATAACTTGCGTTTTGCCAAAAGTAACTGTAATGGGTGAAATGGTGACTGTTGATTGCATTTTTATTGGACAACTGGATGTTTCTTACGTTCACATTCTATTTGCTCATAGGAGCATGAAGTGGACACATTGTTTACCAATCCCATGACTGCCAAAACTTGAATGAAGATGTTCAATGCGGATTTGACTGATCCTGAAATGACAAGTCTCGGTATGCGTAGCATGAGTGAAAAGGCAAGTCTTGAAGTTAGACCCAAATCACCTACCCTGCCGTGGACACTTTCCGTCACACTTTTACCCTTCCACAATAGGATGGGTCACAATTCGTTGCGTGCACCTAAAGGATTTTGTTCTTAGACTCAGAACTAAGTGCAGTTAACCGATCGGTCCAAATCAAGTTTCTACGGTCTGACTGAATGACCAAATGCAACTCAGTGGACGCCTAAGTGTTGGTCACACAGTATCGAAGAGCTTCCAAAGAACACTTGGCTGACCTGAATTTCCTTGAGTTTCAGTGTGACCTTCGGAAACAAGTAACATACGTCACAAATCGATTAACAGTGCTCAGATGACCTTCTAGCGTGACATTTCATGATTTGTGTGGACTCTAGTTGATGGCCACCAGGTATGACGTCTTCCAGCATCCCTAGACCAACGCATTTGATTTAGGAAGCCACGCTGCGAATTGTGTACTACGATCCGCACAATTTTCCACACTTCTGTTAAACTGTTAACTAAGAATTTTCTGTGTTTCCTTCCGTGTCCCTGCAGCTCCTGGCCATCCGCCCGATAATGTTTATAGTAAGTTCTTTGATCAATTTCGTCATCTTTACCTTGCTTTTCCGAGTATAAGCGAGGCTTGGAACATATTTGCTTGAATCATTTCGTTGATAAAACCATTCAAAATGAATAAACGTTTCCACTTTTATCTTGCTGGTCCCCTCGATTCACTGTGAAGCAGCACCGGTCCCCATAAAACGGGTTCGGAAATAATGGTAACTCTTTCCACAAAATGCACTCAGCTAAAAAATCACTTAATCAAGAAAGTTCTCGACAATTTTCTTCAAGCTATGGTGAAAAAGTTCTGCCATCTTAGGATCGATGTATCAATAACGGCTGCTTGTAGAAACCATCAAAAAGGATCATTCATACTGTTCTTCCCTTTGTGTTGTTTAGTTTGCTTCTGAGCTCTAAACGAAATCAGAAAGCGCCCCGAAACGTCACTTTTTGCCCACTAGGTCAACCATCAAAATGGGACGTTGTCATTGGTTAGTGAAACACTTGTGTGTGAAACAGTACCTGAACCTTGAAGCTGGACAAGTCTGAAGCAGCACCTCCTTACCAGGATCGCTCCTCTCTCGGTACTAAAGCAGACTGCCCTCGAAACGTAGATGACCATGACTTACACTGCTACATTTAACAGTCCCCCGATTTGGCTGCTTTGCACGTTTTTTAGTTAAAATTAGACAGTTTCTTGAACTATTCATCCAAAAAAACCATTGTGATGTCATGGAGCAGACCTAATGGATGGTATAAGTAGTGTCCACCCACAAATTCACGAGTCACCAACTTTTTGACTCGTTGTGAGTGCACCCCGTTCTGTTCTGCCAGTGCAACAAGTTATTCAATAAAAGTATCAACCTCTCGTTAACTTGTAGTTTTGTTTCTCCTGAGTGTCACCAAAACTTGAATGCTGGAAAACTTGGCTATCTGGATGAATTCATACTGCAAGTAAAGGACCCCTCAAAAGAGACAAAGCTTTCTCTGTAACAATGGGCAAAGATGAAGACTGTCCCTTTCCCCGCTTCGCTTCCTGAATAAAAAAAAGGAATACGGTGTCTTCAGTCCCTTTGACACATTCTAAACTGTCACAAATTTAAATTGTCAAACATCAGCCCAGATTACAATTCAGGATAGTTCAGTAGTAGCCATGGTGGCTTCTGTGTGACCGACCTTCTGTTTTGTCCCACAGTGGTTTTCACATGTGATGGACAACAGTGTAATGCACGTAGTTCACATTGATTGTAGGCTTCACGAATTTCCAGTAATACCACCGAACCAACTGGTTGGCATTATGGGTAACTTGGAATATAAATTATTTAACTTAGTAGGTTTTCCGTTAACAGGTTATCACCTCGAACTCCATGTTCTAAATGCATCAAGCTTCAGGAATAAACCACACATCCGTATGGCGAAGCATATTCACGCAATCATACATAAGACAAAGCCGAAAAACGGGTGCGAATAGATAGTTCATGCGTATGAATTTTACAGTGACTTCCTAAAAAAACTTCCTTGCATGACGCAGTTTGTCAGTATAGGGGTTCATTAGGTAAGTCAGACTGATCAGGCTAGTGATATGGACAGAGAATTCACAAAGTTGATAAGCACCTGCAAGTTAGCAGAGAACAGAGCTCATCTAGTACGTTGGCGCCAAATGACTGAAAGTCCTGACTAACAAACAATCAGTTGACAGGTCTAGGGCAATTGCTGCGCCACCTTTTCACCCACCGGGGTTACTACACAAACAAGTGTGAATATGTTTATCTCTTCAAATCTGGTCATTCGGAGGCATCTGATATTCGCTGCCGAAGTACGGTGATACTACTTATGGGAGGGGCATGCGAGTAGTATGTTTTCTCGTAAATCCGCTTTACGTCTCTTGAAAAGTGAGATCTCTTACGGACTTTATAGGGTCGCTATGTTGCAACTGAGTAACAGTCGATGAATATCCAGGAAAGTTCAGGAAGACGCGTTCAAGGAGAAGATGGATATTCAGTTTTATAAACAAGATGTATGTGAGAGTTTTACTCCCCTGTCCAATAGTTTGTAACTGTTCAGTTGGCATTTTCTAATGGATAACTCCTCAGCGAAGGCCTTCTTCTTTTCACTGGTATCATACACTACAGATTTCAGAGGTTCGGAGGCCACTGCTAATAGGCTCTAATAAGGAAGACATCTCAGGTTGGTGTTAAACCTCTCTGGTAGTTACCCCAAGACTGCAGAGTGACGTTGTAGCAAGAAGCTAGGCATTTGGACAAACATATTTAGGTGCAGTTTAGCTGTCAGACACGACTGTGTATATACTGTCTGTATTCGGAAGTGTAAGACAATCCCTAGTCGCCCGTCTACTGCGCACCTTTAACTGATGAACCGGTGCTTCGGGTGAAGAAGCGGGATAGACATACCTCCAGTTTCTGAAGGCAGGTGGTTTCATTCATGACCTGCTGGAAAACTCTACCTCAGCGAGTCGCTCCGTAGATTTGGTTTATTTTGGCTTTCCTGGTAGCTGTTTCCACCTGGTCTGCCTGGTCACCATTCCGAAGAAGTAGTCTGGTAGCTGTTGCCCCCTGCTTTTTCTCAGGTTTCATCGTACCGCTGTATTCTATCCAGTGTGGCTGACAAGCACGCAGAAGTGGGCGAAGTTTTACGGATTACACGACCCTTTTAAATGAGCTGTGGGATTTACTATATACGTGTCTATATGTCTAACTGTCAATTATACGCTTATCCTTCAAATTCAGGATTTCGGTATCGTATGAATCTTACCCCTGGAGAAATGTGGAAGTTGGATGATCAATTCCTTCTGGACAATTTGCATGATTTTCCCCCTGAAATGCATCATCTGGCAATCGAAGCTTCGTTTGACGTTCGAGCACCAAACAATACATATGTGAGTTCTTATTGGTCGATTTGTAGAGCCTAACCCCACCCATTGGCTTTCTTGCAACCTAATGAACGGACAACATATTTTCTTAACCTGATACTTATCAATCAGCTAATCTAGACAAACACATCCTGCGTAATTGATGTGCTATCTCTTATTCCTCGGGCAACCACAGATTTAGAATGGTATTACTTGAACTTGAAGAGGCAGTGGTGTTAGTTGACCAAGTGAATCAGAGATCAACTCGAAGAATAGAAACCAGGAGACAAAATCATTCGGATTCTTTCCATTGTATGACTCTCAAGCAGTAGGAGCGAAACATGAAATGCCTTCGAACTGAGTGATCGTCAAGTCCATACGAGACTAGACAAGTGGATCAGAAGCCTTCAGCTAATAGCTCACTTGATAAAAATACACGTCGATAAATTGAAGAAATACGGTTTTAAACTCGCCACGAAATTCTCGGCGGCATCCGGCTAGTGACTATGCTTCATTAGTATTCCGAGGTCAACGACATCTTTACCGGGTTTAGAAGTAAGACAGATGGGCAAGTCAATGATTACAGGATTTTCCCGGTGCCTTCAATATCTACGGACTATTTTTGTTCATAGCCACACCACTCTTGTTTGAACGGGCGTGTTCCTGTTCTGGCGTAATTATTCCAGTGAGTCCACACCAAAGGGAAGCACCGGACTCGAGTTTCGCTTTCATTAGAGCTCATCAGCAGTGCATACCCCGACGAGGAACAAAAGTACCTATCCCACAAACCCCAAAATTGCAACCAAAAATCTGCCCAGTGGGGTTCAAGCGTGTGTCACGCTCTCTGACTGGGATGTCCTGATTGGCAGGTCAGTCGATCGTCACAACCAGGACAGTTACTGGATCGTCGTTCGATGGGTCGGGCACACAAATCACACCGCTCAAGCGTGAACACGTTCGCCTGTTCAGACGTGAAAATTCAGATGCGTTACCCCCCAAAACCCCAAGTCTACGGAATAGTTGAATGACGAGCATCTCCTCCGATTTTGCTTTCCATTTACTGCTGGAGCTTTACAAAAATCTCATGCTGGCTGTTTTCACGCATGAGAAACTGTATAATACCTCGCTGGAGAAGTTCAGACTCTCGATGAGTCTATCTGAGTAGGCCTGATGCCCACTTGTTGTATGCAGTAGTTTGATCAGTTGAGGCAACTTTCCTTCCAGTAGTTTTCAGAGCCTGAAGTTTGGTTTGAATCTACAACTGAAGATTAAACCAGATAAACGAGTATTTTTATGGTATGCGAAAATGCTGGTTCATATTACAAGTAGATAAGGGCAATTTTAGGCAAAAATTCACATGAGGGACATCCCTAGTGAAGGGAACAACATCTAAATATGGATTTTTCGAAGCCGGGCACTTAAACACGACTTTATCAAAGGGGTATTTCGGGACAGCCCCATTAATTAACGAAGTCCAAGGAAGTGACAGTCCAGTAGTGACAAGGAACATGACAGTTTACTAAAAGTTTTGATATTTGATAGTGTATCATGCATACTTGGATCAACAGAACCACGTTTTACTCAGTCAAAGCTCACTGGTGTTCTATAGTTCCCAAGCCTTAAATCTTAAGCACGGAGTAACTGAACTCGATAAGTACGAGTGGATGAGAACAATCACCCCTAAAACGTGCATCTCACACCATTTCCACTCCTTCTTAAACCTATTTTGAAACTCGGAATATCAGTCATTATCAGATACGTAGACGAACTTATAGGACTGATGGGTTGGGCCTTTGAGACCATATCCTTTTAACTTCAGGAACCTGGCGCCTTTGGTAAAGAAACAAGCACGATTTAAAAACATAAAAATTGTTGGCAGAACGAAAAATGGAATATCGCTGCTAGATCCAAAGCTGGTAATCCAACCGGCATAATAATTACCGAAGAAGGCACAGCGATCAATAAGCATTGGCATGTTTTTTATTTTATTTTTGTCACCCGATTGACAACTAGCTCTGGTAGGCCGGGGTTGGAAAGATGTAATGGCGTTATGGAAATACACTCATTTTCAAACTAATTTGGTTTCGCGAGACACTCACCTGGAGCCCAGCTGAATCTCTCGTTTGTGACGTTTCCAGGTAACTGAATGTGCTGCACCGGGCCACCTCATGTTTCAGTCACTACGATTTTCGATATATCGCGATACATACGTATTCGTAGTACACTGCTCATAAGGCTGCTAAAGATTCGTCGGCAGCCCACGACCGGTTTCGCCCTTCTTGGAGCTCATCAGATAGGCGCAGTCCCTGAGTTTGCGTCAACCTCGTGTTCTACTTGTAATGACGTTACTCATACCGGTAACGTCCAATAGTTTTGAGCCTGGTGGTATGGATAGGGTAATCTCCTGAATGTTAGTTACTTCGTGGTTTCATCCATCGACTGTTGATCAACGGTATTTATAAGCTTACAGTGCCGTGTCCTATCTGTAGTGGAGTTTTTTCACCGCTGTAAACATAATTGCATGCAGAAGGTTCGAGGAAGCTGAAAACGGCCAACGTCAACAACTGTGTCTATGCCCCATTTTGTTTTGTCAAAGTATAACAATGGGTCTGTTTTTCTCTAGATACCGTCATTATAATAATGCAAAACACCATCCAGAATTACCGTAGAAGAAACGAAACGACACCCCCTTCCGCCTTCCAACTGTCCCCTCGGTCCTCCTTGTCTGAACTTTACTTAGTTAGCGAACCTGTGTGGTTGCTGGAGAGGTTGGAATCCCCCAGGTGAGATTTCGTCCTCTGAGTGAAGCCCATCTATACTGAAAAACCAAAGAAGTCTGTACAGCTGTTTCATTCTTGTTTGGAATCCTAAGCAGTGCGAATCTCACGAAACTCCAAAGAAGTTGAGGCCCACAATCACCCGCCCAGCTGTTGAAGACTGAATCTTTCTGCTACGAGTAAGCGACCATCAGTATGTTTGACTACCACTAAAACCGGATATGGCATCACTAACCATTCAGCCGCGAGATTCACATAATGTGTTCACGTGTTGGCTGGATCTCCGAGTGAACATTCCTCATATCATGGTCCATTTGTCCTGTAATTAATCCTCCTTTCTGAGTTGCTCATACTCTGTTCGTAAAACGAAGATATTTCAGAACTTTTTCAACTGGAATTTTCGCAAAATCTTCTCGTGCTATCAACAAACTATGAGTAGTTTGGGGAGAACCATGGTTCACACCACCAGTGAAACCACTCGAGGACTTAGTCACGCCATATATTGATGTGGATTGTGTGAGGGAAGGGTGAGTGACGACATGTTTCTTGTACTTGTAAACCAATAACACGGCTGATCAGCGGCTTGTCACCGGACAATTTAGTCTTGAACCAATATCCGAAGGTCTACGAGTTCGTCTTTGTACAATACACATTGGTTTTCTATAGAGGAAACTGTTGGTAGCTCAGGTAGCGTAGATGGTCTTTGGCTTGTTCGCTGAGCTGAGCGATTTGACTGCAAACGTTTCTTCACCGATCAAGGCGACATCATCAGTGCGTTAGTGGGGAGCGTAGTGGTGTGTAGCGGTGGGTTAGTGGTTGTGCGTTGAGTAGTTTTACGTGTGTGTTAATATACGTGCTGCTAGTCGGGATGACCTTTGATCTCGATTAGTTGTTCGTGGGCGTCGAAGAATGAGGGCATAGGATAACGGAGCAACCAATGGAACCGCCCGACCGAACAACTAATCGCAATCAAAGATCATCCCCGGCTAGCAGCATGTACATTAACGCACACACAACTCTACTAAAAGCACAACCACTAACCCACCGCTACGAACCACTACGCTCCCCAACAACGCACTGGTGATGTGACCTCCGTTGGTGACGAAACGTTTGCAGTCAAATTGCCCAGCTCAGTGAACAAGTCAACGATCACACACTGGTTTTGATTTCCTTGAAGAATGAAAGCGTTGTATAGCACTTCTCGGCTTCCCAACGGAGAATGACTTCAATTGTGAGTGTACGTGGCTGTATTGAGAAAACATCTGTCATTAGTTTGTTTTAGGAAAGTCCCAAAAGACCATCCAGCCATGAGTCCGTTAAACAAACAGTTTCGTCGATGTGCTGCAATACTCGCGCAAACATCTTGCTCTTATTTTCAAACATTTTCGGCCCTAGGTACTTCCAGATAGCTGTCTTGAATATGTGATTTGAGCAAAAACTGGGTAGGTTTTCTGCATGTTTCCCGTGAAATCGACTAATCGGTTGCGGTTAAAACGTCGTGGCATAATTGTTTTTTTCCAAGGAGAGTGTTAGGAATAGGCATGAATCGCATACCAAATTGCTTACAAAAAAGATTTAATCAACAATCATCCGGTAGATGCTTTTGTGGGACTAGTAGTGACTGTTCTCTGTTCTTTTTCACCCAAAATCAGCTTTTCCTTCACGCTGTAAACGTGACCGTTCCACAGGAATTCTCCTGGAGCTGTGTCCCAGATGAGTTGCTTGCGCAAAATGCACGGACCCAATGTCGCTCGATCAATCCACTGGTATTCGCCACAAAAGAAAGCAAAAAAGAATATGACGGTAAGATTCTCCATCAGCCGAACGTCTGTGCGTCACATTCTGTTACTGTCCCAGACTAGGCTGATTTTTTTCTCTGCCACAACCCAAGAATCGAAGGTTTTCGACAGTTGGCTTTTTGGTCAGTGACAGAACTAGTTCCGTTTGGGGGGGGGGGTTGACCTCATTCGACCGTCATTCACTGTGTGGTTCAGAAATGAATGGTCCTATTTTGATAAATCATTTTATGGTTTAACTGGAAGAAGGAAGTATTCACAAAGTCTGTCTGTTTTGCAGGTAACACCCATGAGATGAATAGAACAATGTAGAACGATTACCAAGCTTAGCTAATTCACTGATTTTATGGCTTTTTGGCGTAGTTCAGAGAGACAGTAGCAGGGGGAGTTGTGGATTTTCCTGGAATAGCACAGTGTTAATTTCGTTAGATCTCAGTCAAAGATGGAAGTTCTACACAGATCGATTTTATGTTTGTTTGTGATGCAACTGAACTGAAGGCGAGTATTGACCGCTCAACAAAAGGCTTCCTTAGATTACTTGCTCGAGTAGCGTTCGAAAGAAAACCGGTGTTTTGCAAAAAGGTGACGAATGAATTCGGTAATTCAGCAATAGTTGCAGTCTTATGCATCACACTACGACACTAGAAAGAATTCACCACCCTTTTCCCATCCATGAGGCTTTTTATTTCCTCAGATGGAATGGATTATACCTGGTCTGTCAATTTTCACTGAACGAACCACACTGCTGACAAGTTTGGTGAAAACTCTCCGATAGTCCACAAACGGCTTCGTCCATTTTGGTAGGCGCCGTCTCCGAGGTTTCCCTATAGTGAACACTACGTTCTACTTGAATCCAACTTGCATTCAGTTTACAAAATACACTCGTTTACGGACTAACCTGATTTCAACGGGAAACAGCCGAACCTCAGTTGAATCTCCAGCTTACGATTTTCTTCAACTGAAGGCGACGTTATTGTGACATTAAGAATGTCGCAGTGCACTGTCTAGGCGGAGCACACCACTCCTAAGATGACTGTAAGCTTTTTGACGGCACGTTTCGTTTTTCTTCAACTTCATTGGATGAGCATAGACTTCCGTCAACCTAGTTTTCTGACTCAACCAAAATTGTACGAAGTTCGCGAAATACCCTCATTTACAAGGTAGTTTGGTTTCAACGCCGGAAGTTATTAAATCTCTTGTTCAAATGAGTGTGCCACACAGGGAGGTCCCATGTTTCAGTTGCTATGCTATCCAAGAAATAGAAAAAAAGTTTTCCCTGAGCTTATTTATTCCGCCAGTAACGCCAAAATGAGCGTACCACCGATAAACTGAATATATTTACGCCTCAAAAGTTTCCAGTAAACGCTCTGGTCACAAATCATGAAATAAAGCAGACGCATCCATGTAGATTTGGAAACTTACAGAAAATGGGGAAAGCAACGAAAGCCAGACGGAATTTGTTTACTACTTCTTTCGGTAGAAACAAATTCATATGTTTAGCAGTCCAGTGTTAGTTGTCTTTTCAATACACCAATCGATGAACTCATATGTGCCTACGATCAATAAAATCATAAGAAACACTTATCGATGTCAAGAGGGCACGCAATTCTGGTCTCGAAACCCAACCAGTATAGTTCAGGTGTGGTTATATATTATACACATTATGGTAAACAATTAGCCCGAAAAGTAAGGCGACATTGGCCTGATTCATTCAGAGGAAAAAGCGTACCAGCCGGCACTGGGCTTACAATGACGTAATAGCTTAACTAACATGGAAAAATTCTAACCAGCAAAAGAACGTAATGGAACTCCAGGGGCACCGGCCAAAGTTTTGTTGGTTGCCACTGAAGGGGGAGCTTCAAGGGCGGATGATAGCCCCCAGTTGCTCAGACCACTGAGGATTTCCTCCAATCTTCAACTCTGACCCACTAGGCAAAGGGTAATGGGGTTTCCTTTGTGACTCTGCCTACCTACCTGCTTGGCTTCGAGGACTGTTTTAGGCTGAGGACGCGTGGGGTAAAGTAGACACGTCTCATTGTTGATGTCATTGTGTAGAGCAGATACCTTTGGAGCAACATGGGGCAGTTGGTGAGTTTCAACTCTACTTCGACTATGCTGGACAATGAGCATGTGGTTACCGCTAACAAGTGGACAATTAAAGAATATGGCTTTTGAGGTCAACCGTTTCGAACCCTTCTTTTCTCGAAAAAAGACAGAATAACTATTTCCATAGATATGAAAGTGATGGTTGTCTGGAGGACCGATCTCGTCGCCTTCACTCTCCTGTCTCAGAGAACAGTACCGGGAAAGAGCCCTGGACCGTCTGGCTCCACGATTATTCCTAGTTCGAAGACTCACTGTTCTTTGTCTGATTCTTCTCCCTTGTTCGTCCGAACACAGTCACCCTTGCAGAACGAATTTACGGCCAGTCTAGCCCGCGCAGAATTATTGCAACACCCAGACCCGACCAACTCGTCAAACTAACAGCTTTTTTCCGGGAGGTCTGAAAAGACGGACCTAACTAATGATTCCGTAACTCTTCGGAAGTTTTGCAGGTTACGGTGAACAGTTTTCCCAAGGTTGGCTCTAACCAGAAATATTTCAGATGAATCCTTACAGAAACGCTGCACTTAGAAGTGGGAGACCATTTTCTCAAAAATCCGGGACAACATCAGTACCGAGCAGATAGAAGTTCCCTTCCCACTTGCAACGATTTGTTCCTCAATGGGTCGCAAGGATAATGCATAGCCTTAGAAAGTTCTGTTCAGTTTACTGGAGCCTCATCATGGCAACTACTGATATTTTTTCGGCCAATCGTTGTCCTGTACGTATTTGAAAACATTTATGTCTGATTATTGCTATTCTGGGTGGAATATTTAGGGTAGAAAAAGTGATCAAAAAGTGACCTTCTAAGGACAGGTCCTCTTCTTGGTGACCTTTTTGAAAAGGGCTATTTTTCCCTCCAATGTGGAATGGCCCAATGAAGCTTACGGAAGTAGCCAAACTGGTAGACTAATGATCCTATCATTCCGAACATACATACTTTGTGGCAAGTGAAAAAACAAGTGCGTTTCGTTTTGAAACACCTTGCTGCCTACAGAATTGCACTTTCTTTCTTCTACGGGTTTCTTGTGGTTCTACTGTTTCGTCGCAAAGTGTGGTTATGAAATGATGAGTTTGCAGGATGCAGTATGCACAAGATGACAAATGTCACAAAACTCCACTTGTGTTCGAGATTTCTTTCCAGTCTGCAGTTTACACGAAATATTTGGCTATCATTTGAAGGTCTATCTCTGGTAGTAAGCAAGCGTAATGGATTGGTCTCATGTTCCTCTTCTTGCCCGCCCTGACGACGCTAGAGAAGACCGTCTCCAAAGAGGAGCCGATTTATTGGATTCGTTTTGTTGTCCTCTTGGAGAAATCGTGGAAAAGTGGCCCCTTGTTTGGAACCGTTACCCGGAAGCAGTTATCTAACAAAAAAAACATAGAACTAGTGACCGTTACCCGAAGCAGTTATCTAACAAAAAAACATAGAACTAGTGCTTGGTTGATGGGAATAATCAATAAATCGAACTAACTCGACCTTTAAATGTGTATATGTTTGGTATGAAGTGCACTCTCTGCAGGGAGTCCGGCCGCTTGAAAACCTGATCAAGCACATCCGTAACTCAGCTTAGTTTGCGTACTCTTCATGAAACCTCAATGCAAAAGACCCTATCATATTCTTTACATATGTGGACAATACTGTGCAGTTTCACATTTAATGAAAACCCAAAAATACCCCTTAAAAATCAGAGGCTGGGATCGGTTTTGCCTCCGTTGGATGTTCAGGGCACCAGCGTATTATACTGCGTTAGTCGTTCAACTCGTACAAATCAATGCATTTGAAAGGTGATGCCGACCAGAGTCATTTTACGAACTGTCAACTGTATCCTCTCGAAACCATGATCTTTCCATGAGAGAAGCAAATTATTTGCCACCAAACATCCTGATCGGTTCATCTTGACCAAGTTCGTGTGTGCTCGCAAAAATGAAGCTAAATTCAGCGTAACTAGCGGCAAATCTTCACAAGATGTGGGACAAATTAACAAATATAACCCTTCTTATTTCTCCACACTAAAACCAAAGTTTACATGGAATCAGACAAAGTGCGGGGGCTGACAAGATAAGAATGTGACAGGCTTTTCAACGTAATCTTCGAATTTCGTCTACAAACAGAACGCGTAAAATGCAGCCAAGCGCGGAATTGCGGGAGTTTCGAGTTTTTTGTCATGTCAACGCCCAATGATAGATTAGATGTAGGATAGGGTTACGCACAAATACGGGATTTGCTTTCATGCCGAGCTATTTTCCTCGAAGCTTGGACGGAAAATCACCTGCTGTTGCGTCAATTTTGCAAAAATACCCGCCGATTTAATGGGAAAACACAGTGAATTTTACTTAGGGCAGGAGTGTTTTGGAAAACAAAGCCATCTCTCTGTTGTAGACTACTGCAGAAAAGAGGTATCCGGATTTTTATCTTCTCCGTGACAGCCAGTAGTCCGCGTTTCTGTAACGCAATGCCCTTACTCTTCACTTAGGGACTTGGTATATTTCTGCGACCTTTTATTCCAAACTGACTAACTAAGCGGTTTGGTCTTGACATACTTTTAAAGCATAGCTTAGAGTATATGGAAATTGAGGGAATGTGGGTGCCGAAGTAATGACGGTTTATTAAAACGCGGAGACTGTAGAAGGTTTCTCAAAATCTAAGTAAAGTGGCTGTCCTGTTATGTCTTTCGTTTCAGGGGAGATAGTTCCAAAACTACGGCTTTTTGTAGTACTTTCATAGAAGTTTCTCTCGTGAGAGGCCCCTTAGAGTGGAAAAATCGACCATTCTAGGCAAAAGACCCCTCTAACAGGACCAGACTGGAGTTTCCGGGTGCACCTCATACCCTTAATATTCCGTTTCCTCCGACACCGAATGTCTCTCACTGGGGTAGTTGGGATTTCTCCTTGACACAACACTACGCATACGGTTGCTGAAGACGGTTCCACAAAGTGTGACCGGTTTTGCCCCTCTTCCTACTCATGTAGGCATGGTCTCTGAGTTTCTGTCTTGCTCGTCTTCCAGGTGAATACTAACTTGCAGGCATTTGGAAATATTTCGCTCACTTTTCAGTTAAGTCGGTATTCACAACAGACCTCATTGAATCCCAGATGAATCTCTCATGCACCACATTCTCCAACTGAGTGTGCTGAATAATGGCCGGTTCATGCTTCGGTTGGTACCAAATTAACAATATAAGTGAGAGATATAGTTACGTCTTTCGTTAGCACCAAAGTAATCTTTCAGTGAATGTTCCTGGCCAGTAACGGTTAACATCTGTTTATGAGTGAGCATATTTACGGCCATTTCTTCCTCTGAAACAGCTTTATTTCCCAGACCAGACCACGCGGAATTGCTAATGGATTTCAGAAACCCGGAGAGGTGAGATACAGGGACTGTACAAGTAATTTTAGCAAGCAAATTAGCTGATAAGACCTGCTTAGCCTAGGTGAACCAATTCTTCCAAGAAAATAGTGCAGGTTTGCTGCTGACTAGTGAGTAAATCGTCTTTTGTTAAAGTCTCTATCTCCAAATACACAGCCTGATCTGTTGGATGTTGATAAAAAAAGATGTCTCCGGCGACGATGTCCACTGGATACACTTCAAAACGTTTCGATTGGTAAAATCCCTAATCAAACGTTTGGCGTATTTTGAGTAAGTTCGTTGGAGAGTGTTGAACTGACAGCCTCTATGCCATAAGGTGCGGTGTCAGTAGACTTGTCCGAAAACAACTGAGTAAAAAAAAAACAAAATGGAAGTGTCATGCAGTCAACATAAACCTTTCCATCGATGGTATTATAGTGTCATTAAAACACCTGAAGATGTGTCTCAGTGATTAGCCTCACAGGTCCCGACTTACCAAACTCTTCTACGTGCGGCAATACTAGTAAACAAAATAATGCCATTGAGGTCTAAAGGGTAACATTCATTAGAATTGTATTGTACAGTGTTAGGTAGATGTGATCATTTCCCTACAGCCAAATTTCTCTGGGCACGTTGAGCCCGGCTTTTGAGGAGAATAGGAATTCAACGCAGTGAATGAATTCCTGTAACTTATATGATTCTGAAGATCACAAATGTAATATACGGCTTATTTAGGAGCCTTCCACCAGTATTGCCGCTATGGCGTTTCTGTTTTCTGAAGGACTTTAAACTACTCTAATAATTACGAGTAGGCTAGTTCTTGGACAACTTTAACGAAACAATGGCGTTGACTGACCATGAATCATGTTTTCAAACTTCAGACCTGGACTTCGTGATGGACAAACTTTTGATTCAAGATCCGGCATCAATTATTGATGGAAGGAAGACCATCTTTGAGTTTTACTCCCATTTGAGCATATCCCCATACGTAACTCCATGTCCCAAAGTGAGGCGCTTTTGTGATCGGTCTATTGGGAAGAGCAAGTTGGAAAACAATCGAGAGTCGGATCGTGACTTTTTTATTCGGCAGTCTCGCATGATAGTCAGGATCATTATTGTCTCACCAGTTCAAAAACCTACCACATACGGACCGAACAGACGTTTGAGGTCTTCGGGAGAAACCGAAGCTAAATCGAATGCAACATTGGGCAATCTAAGAAAACGCCAAGCACTGAGTCTCAGGCTTCCTCAGATGCCAACATTTCACTTCCAATTGACAGCCTTAAAAAGGACACGCTCAGAATGTAAGTTGTCAGAAGTGACTGAGGATAGTGTGTTATACCACCATCAGTATTGCTGTAAATCGTCACTCTCTTGAATTTCTATCCTTGACATATCTGGCCAAATTCTCATATTCGAACGATCGCATCCCTTCAGTCTTATGGTAGGCTAATGGAGATCAGCATCGCCGAGAAAGAACCAGAACCAGATAAAATATTCCTGCACAGACTTCATTTTGATGAGTACGGTAGCTGGATCGCTTTGTATATGCCCAACTGCCACTGTGGTCACCTAGCGCCGGCCTAGCATAGTTGAGTAAATGAGGAAAGGAGTCGGTTAAGTTAGAACACGCACCTGGTGTCAGTTACCTGTCACATTGAAAATACTACGGTGATTCTCCCAGGTCTGCGCTCTCTATGCAAATGCAAAACGATCTGATGTGACATAAAATAAACAGAGTTTAGTAAGGGGTGTCGGCGTCATATGGAAGATTCTACGTATTCTAAGTGTGTACAACAGCTTAAGGAAAACGTGTTGCAATTACGTATGCTCACATATGCCGTTAAAACTATGCGTTCATATCCATACACCACTCAAGTGATTTCTAGCGAGTAGCGAGTAGCGCTTACAAATGTGCTATGGCTTAAATTGATCAGCTTAGAATAAAAATGCAACCGAAATGAATAGATGCCCCAAAGTCTCAACTTCTAAAAGAGAAAACTGACCGATCAGCTGTACCATTCTTCCGGTGCCTGGCTTCCATGCCACCGGAAGAAAGTTTAAAGACTGAGATACTCTCAGGTTGCCCGAGCCCAGACGGAAGCAGTTGATATGCTGAGGTTCCGTTCGAAACACGGAACCTCTGGTCAGTAGGTTTAAGCATTAATCAGTGAGTTCCCTCAAGTCTGACTTCTAGGGTTCTACCACTGTGCAGTGGTGGACTGAAGTGGAAGGGTACTTGTGTTCCAACAAGTCGGGTTTGTTTCGCCACAAACACAACTTCAAGATAAATGATCAGCAAATTAGGAGATGGTCAACAATTCAGTTCACTGGGTCATAACAACGTCATCTGACACAATCCAGTAGTAGCTTAGCAAAAGACTTGTTTTTCGTTGCCAAAAAATTTGGTAAGCAACGTTTTGTCAAAATGAACAGTTTTTCTTGCCCCCCCCCCAGTTCCCAGTGCTCCCTGTGAAGACACCTGGACAACATGTGACGGGAACAGTTTCCTCCCCCCCCCCAATTCCCAGTGCTCCCTGTGAAGACACCTGGACAACATGTGACGGGGAAACTTGCATTCCCAAGGCATTCTGGTGTGATAAAATTTTCAACTGTCCGCAGTGGCAAGATGAAGGAACACACTGTGAGGAGCTGCGTAAGTCATATGGTGGAAAAAGCGTTCATTACTTCCTTATTTATGAAGCGACATGTGTGCGTATTACCAGGATCAGAGAAAGCAGTTCAGCTAAAAGCACCTGTGTAGGATCCAGAGCCATCGCCCACACGTCTACTCGCTACTGGAGTGTATTCACGTCACATAATCCGATGTCCGGCCGACAGTTACTGGTCTATCCAGATAGTTCAGTAACTGGTTTGTTACATAAATGCTTTCTTCCTTTTTAAGGAGTACACTCAGAATGCAAGTGTAAGGAAGAATTTCCCAATGGTCAAAATGTAAATTCATGTTTGTGTAGTTCAGTTAGATAAACCCAGTGTCAGGACGCGCCCAGACATGGAAAAATTACGTGTGCAGAGAGTGACACACCCCCAAGGTCACCATCGGTACGAGACGTTCGGAAAGCAGGTGCCTTGGAGGAGCTAACCAAACACGGCTTAGCAACATGAGACCAGTGGAGTGGGGCTGGAATTGTTCACGACCAGAACACCGCCATTGGCCGTACAGAGCGAGCAAGTGAACGACCATATTTGGCCATTTAGTTATCCTATATATATTTACGCAAAATCTGTGTTTTGCCCTGATAGTACAGCCATGTCCGGAGTTCTCCGTCTTCTCCTTATCGCTTAGTCTGGCAGGCTCAGTGCAGGCGTAACCCATAAACGGTCACCCACGAAGCAACACCCAAGTTAAACGCCTCATACATTGAGTGCTTCTGTGGAAGAGCTTGCACTATTCTTGAGAGTTCACTCACTTATATTGGGTATACCAACTTTGAACCATAAAGTTGCAGAATCCCTCTCCAGAGTTCAAGTGGCTAGAAAGCGGATAAGAGATTAATGCTTTGCTTCATATGAAGGTGATACTAAATATGGTAAAATTAAAACGGTATCACATCTGTTGAACTGTTTACATTGGATACTGTTTATTGCAGAGGGGAATACGGTAAACCAGTGCGATCGGCTCAAGGGATCGCTTAGTTGAACCTCTTGATTTGTATTTCAGGGTTCGTCGTTTAAATCTCCCGAGTCCTATAGCAGAGCCACAAGCCCCTCGTTTGTGATGGCAGTACATTCCTGATCCCACTGAGACCAGGGCTGTCAGCTGTACAACCAGCTGTTGGCTGCTTCGTTTTTGACGCCGTCACTCTAAGCTATTTCCGTCACTGAGATTTACTAAGTACTGAGACAGAGTCTAATCTGATTGTGTTACGTGAGGTCCAGATAATCCATGAGGTTTAGTGAAAGCAGGCTATTCTTGTGCCTCGCAGCTCAGGGCTACTGCATCTAACCTTTTCCGGTGTCGCAACGTTATTCTACCTAGCGTAGCCATGAACCATCTTGATCAGCAACCATCTTTGTGCATGGTGGAATCTCTTCCCACAAATTTCCAGTGCTTCATTGCATGAATCCAACGTCATTGATGGGTTCGTATGACCGGTGACGTGCCAATATCTAGCCTCCGAACAATCAAACCGTGATCTTGTTTCAAGAACCTGACACTCTTGTTCACCAAGGGTTTCCGTGGATGCATCCCTCTTGAAAGGAGCCCTACCTTTTTTAGCTCAATATGTTCATGGCCAGTGGAGTAGCAAGGAGATATGCCGATGTCAGACTAACACTTTATGCAATCGTCCACGGGTTCGATCCACGCAATTCAGAACCAGAATAATCAGAATTCGCGTTTATGCACTTGATAGGCAATCATGTGACAGATTATGCTACCAAGGGCGGCACTGTGGCTTAGGAACTAACTCATGCAGTTGGTGCTTCTTGTAAAACCTCTGCTTCGGTACCACCTGAAGGGTGGGTCAAAGCCTACTAGACAGGATACACTCTTCTTGGGACCCGTAAGATGGACGCAGTGCCCAAATCTCCATCCAATGCCGCCCGGTAAAAAATCCTCTCTACACTATGGCTACCTACAGTCCCTGTAAAGGAAAGGCACCACCTGTCACACCTGTTTCTGCGGCTGCTAAGACGGAGCAGAGACACTCGAATTCGAGAAATTACACGTTAAAATCATTGACCTATTTTCATAGGCCTATGTTTTAGTACGAATAAATGTCATATAATGTTATTTTATCGTAGACGGGAAATCGGTTTTCAAATGACGGCATTTTACTGCAAACGAGTGCTCTGAAATAGGGACAAGAATAACGTTACATAAACTTCGATGTAAAGGTGCATTTCAGCCCACTCGGAGTCCGTACGGAAATTCATGAAAAATCAGCTATTCCTAGGATAAAGTTCTGCTTAAATCCGCAAGTTGCAGAAGGATTCGGTCTATCAGTCAGACAACACAAAATTCGCCCACACCGATCACGACGTTGTACCACCAAATTGGAAATTCTCATATGCCATTGGGGCGGTTCTCCTTCGGATCTGATCTGTGCGTTATCGGAAAATCAGTTTTTGACTTGGCACATCCTTACTGGTGGGTACCATGCATAACGGATAACTGCCATGGCTACCACCGCGTGACTAATTTTTGTTGCTAAAATAACCTGTTGAGGAAAAATGCCCTCCCAAAGTGTTAGGTGGGATTCTTTATCGAGAGGGATTCTCTGTGACATATATTACTATTTTCGAAAACCTGCCATGCAGCTCTATGGAAAACTAACTTTTCTTCCACAAGAAACAGCTTCCTCCGCTATAAAAGAACTGTAGGAGGAAATCGCAGATGTTCGATGACGGTTTGCATTTATTTTGTTGAGACCCGCATTGATGCTATGACGATGCTGCTGGCAACATGCAGGCTAGACCCACTAGAATGCAGTGAAGCCTGATTTCACTCTTGACGTTTGCATCCTGCTGAGCAAGTACAGACTTTTCGTCGATAGTGCGAGAAGATTAGGGAAGGTTGATGGAGATTTCGTCCGGCTCGGAAGGTCGTGGGTACCAGAGTCTCTTGAGTTATGTGAGATTCCCAATGAAGATTGAACGGTGTGCAGTGCTTCACAGCCTCTCAACAAAGACCGGCTTCACTTATGGACGAAACTCTACCAGAAGTCTTTTGTTTGTTCCTCCAAAAAACGATGAAATTCCCAAAAGCTCCTCTCACAGGTAGTAGAGGAAATCAAGACAATAAGGTCTTTCCAGAATTTCGACTTTATCACTTAATTTTACAAATGTTACAAATCACACATCTTCAGACTGGTATACCCTCAACGCAGCACGCGAGTGAATCCCTCTTTCATATTGTTCTCCAGCCAAATATGAAGGGCGGAGCCTATCTATAGCTTTGACTGCTCGATATAAGTTACCAACCATCAGATGTGGTTCTATTAGAAAAACGTGTTCTGCTTCTTTTTTGATGAGCGTCTGGTCAGCTGCGGCGCCCATTCAGTGCATAGCTGGCGTGCAACTCAAAGGAAGCAAGAGTGCTAGATTTCCTAAGCCTCAGCAACAGAAGTCGAGTCTTAGCGTAGATTGTCCTCACCTGCAGCACGGTCCCCATTGAAGATCTCATATCTCATACTACTAACAAGTTACAAGTAGCTAAGAGGATGACTGAAACTTCCACCTCATGGCGGAAACTAGTCAACGCCATGATCATGTGATGTCGATGCAGTGACTGAAGGCTGAGTGGCACCATATCTTACCTGTGCGAGTTAATCACACTGCTGATGAGCCGCCCGGGGCCAAACAGTCACATATTCAAACTACCAGCTGAAAGATCGCGAGTTAGAAACTCCCTGGAGGTTGGTGAGATGCATACCGCTAATGCATCACAACAGGGATGAAACAGCCGTACAGTGCTTATCGGCCTTTCAGTATAGATTGGTTCCACGTAAAGGACAAAATTTCCGTTGACAAGTAGAAAGCCACGGACCTCCCCATCGGCAGTTTTGCGACTTAACCGCTGAGCTAGCTGAGTTGTTACGAGGGTTCATAGAAGACTGATGTCAGCAAGTGGCCAGCATGGTTTGCTTGCGACTCGGCGCAGCAGGGTCGATGACGTTGTGGAATAAAAAGATCCAGAGTGAAACAAAAAATATTGACTTCCGCCCTCAAGTTCGACATTTTTGTTGCCCTCTACAGAGACGCAGGTTGTCTTCAGTGCAATAATGGTATCTGATTAAAGTGGTTTGGAAGGCAGCACGTTATCGAGTTAAGCAGAGTGAAACTCGATCCAACAAGTGGTATATGTTTGTCGGCACCAAAGCCACTCTGATTTGAAACTCAATTATTTTATCAGACAAATATAAACACCAATGATGCCCATGTAATTTCCGATTTCTTTCGGCAGTGAACGTCTGCTCCTAGGACACAGTATATCGCAGGATGCACTGTATATTTGAATGTTTCCACATGTTTTGGTATTCTACAAAAACCGTGGACCACTACACTAAAATCGCTGTTCTTCTGCATCTTCTTGCTATATAATCCACCATAGGTAACAATAATAACGAAGCGCACAAAAGCCTGACGGAGTTGCGAAAAGAACAAGAGAAGCGTGAAGCAGACGCGGAGCAGTTGGCAGCTCAGACACTTCATCTTTCTATTCTTGGTAGCCTCGGACTCCTTTTGACATTGATCACGGTCACGTGCATCGGTAGGTTTTAATTTTCCAGCCATCGTTTACGGTAAATTACTGCATCCCCTGCCCTTCGAAGCAACAGATTCGGTAGATTCCCAGTGTTCCCTTAGTGGCGGTGTTTCCTAAGGAGAAAATGATATAATATAATCGTATTGTGTGCATTCCACATTATGTTAACGAGCCTTCATCTCTGTCCAGTTGTTTGTCCGAAGTTTTCGTGGGAGTAAGATGGAATTTTCCATTCAGTCTGACGTTTGATACTCCTACATATCCGTTAATATCTGCGACAAGTTAAACTTGTTCAGTATTTGTCAGCCTGCCCCATTCAAGTCATAAAAAGTTAGTTTTTCATCTAGTCGGTTCTTGACGGGATACCACTCATAATGATGTTGTCGAAGGGTTTTCGACGACCTTTTAAGTAGTGTTCCGTCAATAAAATGAAGTGTGATGTCTCGAATATCGCGGAATCCAAAACATAAAAACAGCCTTTGCGCAGCATATTTCGTTGAAGAATATTGTAAACGAGTGGTCTAAATGGAATCTGATTGAGTCTTTCTTTTAAAAACCAAACTGATATGCAGTTAAGCGTGTATTTCTCGAATAACTAAGAGTAAGGTGGTGCGAAGGTGTACACTTGTATGACAATCAAAATGATTAATATAATCTGGAAACGGATGACGTATCTCGAGTTGCCTCATCCCATCCTTCAGATGTACTATCTGCAGTCGATATTTCAACGTTAGCCGACTCCAACGAATGGTGCAGTGTCTTTTTGGGCCCAGATGGTCGGCTAGGCCAAATTTTACTGGAACGAGTTCATTATTATGGAGGGTTGGTGTGTCAGCCGTTCCTATGATATGAACCCCTTAAAGCGATAGTCTATTGATAATTCTGCACTGGTTGTGGGCCAGCTGGCTGTTGATCCGTTCACCTAACTCAGCGAATCGATCACCACCCACTCGATGTATAACCAGTTAATGCACCCGAGCTGCCAATATTTAGATGTTTTGTCAAAAAGTCTCTGTGAATTGCACAGCGAATTTCGTCGTGCCGTCTCTTCTTAGGGCGAGTATATCGTCAGCCTAATCAACCAGAAAGTGTTGGCAATTTCATTTAGAAACATTTGTTTCCTGGGTTAAGAATTCGAAAGAGAAAACTTCAGGCCTTCGGAATAGTCTCTTCCATGTAGGAATTTAAACTTGAGGGACTTCCTCGAGAGTACAGTAGTTTGAAAATGATACTTCACTGGACATTACAAGTCTGGACAATTCAGCTGCTTGGGCGGTTAGACACTTTTAGATGACTCATTCATTCATACTCACCAAATGACGGGTTGCTGTGGCTTGATGAACGGTCATACTGTGTCGGTCCCTGGCTTCCTGCCTCGCCCACCATGGTATATCAAAAGGCACGGTAACTTCAGACAGCCCTTTATGGCAACAAACGAAAATTATTACGACCTGTATTTATAGGGTCATCACAGAATTTTCTACAAGGTCCTGTTGGAATCACCGCGAGGAGCCGAGAAGCGTCGAGCTAAAGGTGCTCGATTCACATTGGCTAGCATTCTGACCAATCAGGGCATGCTTTCGTTTGGTCCGTAGCCCGCACGTGACGCATCCGTCCAGTTGACGTGCTCTTGGGCTATTAGGGGTGGCAGGCCTCCGGACACAGCTCCTAACTTACTTGAACGCAATTAGCACCTTTGAACTCATCGTGTGACAGTTCGGGTAGTTTAGGTTTACAAATTTTCATTTAATTGGTCCGAAAATGTTCTGTGAAAAAATCGCTGCATCCGTAGTCATTTTTCATAAATTTTGGTAGGCTACAAAGGTGAGTTTTGGCACAAAGTGACTGTAGTGACTTTCCTAGGGCGAGTGGATCTTAATCACAGGTCTTAAAGTGTAGGGGAATTACGAGAAGGTTGCAAAATATATTCTAAGACTTGCCACAGAGTTCCCATGATAATCTTCTGGTTGTATTGGTGGTGATGGGGAAACATTACGACTTCAGAGTGAGTATTTAGGTTCCCTCGAAATATATTGTAACTGTACTTTGATGGTCGAGTCATTGAGATTGTACGTTATTTTTTGCAAGCAATGACATTGCGGCGTCGGAAAAAAGAACAAATGCGACATCCGATCAAATTGAAGGAAAACTCGGTTCAACCAGCGAGTACGTCTCTTCGACCAACACCCAGGCTCAATCACGTCATGTCAGCCGGAGTTTTGCTCGAGGACAGTAACATTGGCCCGACGTTAGGAAGAGGTGTCCGAGCTGTGCAAAAGTCAAACCATTTACTGAAATCAAATTCTATTCAAGGTCGAGATCGCTTGTGCGAGTTTTCACTAGGTTTAGACGACCAAAAATTGAGTAACCAGGTGAATACCAGCTGGAACAGTACGGATAGCGTAAATGCTCCACTCTTGTGGCAGAGGAAATCGGTTCCGACAAATAGCGGTGGTGGAAAGACAGCGACCAGTGATCTTATCGGAAAGTGGAATTATACGACACCGACTAATCTCGTCCTCAAAGATGGGATACATTGGGTCACCAGGAAAGACCGGGGTATTCATCCGAAATCTGAAACTGAAACAGCCATCACGCAACCAACCAATCAAGCTGTCCATAGTCCCTTTCGGGGAAGACATCGAGGGGCGGGTGGATCAAGCCAAACGCATACTGTCGTGTCCGTTACCCCAACAGTCAGTTTGGAACATCACGTAACTTCCACCGAAGACCCACTGCAACGAATCCCATCAATGGCCCGTCCTCAAGTGCCTGCTATTGCTCAAGGTTTGTCCAGTCGACGAGTGGAGGAAACTGGGTTGGGAACTCCAAGACATTCGAGGCGAGTCGAGTCGGTGCATAAGTTGACCGCTGGTAAGTGTTCTCACCATTTACACAAATAAGCATTTAGTAGAGTGAGAGAGATTCCTACAGGTATATTTTTAACTGCTTTTTATTAATGATGAACCGCTATTGGCAGTACAGTGGTCCACCCCAAGACTGGTGGCCCAATTGGGAGCAACTAAATAGTTAGAGCTCAGTGTATACGAAGAATGTTCCGGTGGTGCACCCACTCAGTAGAGCAGATGGTTAGCTAAAGCTGGTCATCATTCACCCCGATCCGTGCAACGATGGTCAGTTCTAGCACCTTTGCAGGCTCAAAACTTTGGGGCGTCCTGATCGTTAGGATAGGCTATTTGCACGTATATATCCACATGCGCTACACAACAGTAGAATTCAGTCGAATGCAATACACTACACATGTAAAAATGTAACAATGAAAAGCAGGGGTGCTTTTCCGGACAAAAGCGAGGGCTAACACCCCCACCCGACAACACAGCCATTTTATGGATCACGCGCTCATAAGTCCAACGCCCATCTTTCCGTATTGTGATTTGTCCGACCCATCTTACTCTAGGCTGCATTTTTACTGGTGGTCCATTAACCTAGCTTCAGTGTGAAGTTTATTCCTCCAAACTACACACCTCCATTCAGAAGAAACTACAGTAGGCGTCTTCCGTTCGGCTTTATATGGGATCATTTTTGAGGAGAAACCCTCGTACGGAAGGTAAATGCGCCGGCATCGTGCCCTGTCAAAATGAGCGTTAATCACACTGCTGAGCAGCCGTTCGAAGCCAAATGGTTAAGTGGTCATTGGTTTGTTCGCTGAGCTGGGCAATTTGATTGCAAACGTTTCATCCCCAATCGAGGTGACATCATCGGTGCGTTATTGCGGAGCGTAGTAGTGCGTAGCGGTGGATTAGTGGTTGTGCCACAACCACGCTACCTGAGCTACCGACATTTTCCTCTATAGATGGTTAGGTGTTCAATCACTAGCCGAAGGGAAATCGCGGGTTCGGAACTCCTTCCTGGAGCTTCGTGGGATGCGCACTGCTGCACAATGCTCCTCGGCTTTTCAGTATAGACTAGCTTCACTAACAGGACGAAATCTCCATTGAAAATTGCAAACGTCATTTCACTCTTAGTCATTGACTATCAAGCTTCAAGATTCAAAAGAATGCACGATTATCTGCCAGTCACGCAATGAACGGGTGTACTCGCATGTACCTTAAATTGCTCGTTTTGACGAGTTGCTCTTCTGTCAAAGTGCACTGACACCTCCATGACAAGCGAAAAGGTTGAGCGTTGAGTTAGACTCAAAGCACCTCCACTAATATCTGCTAAAGGTCACTAGTTTCAAGTAATCATTACCCCCCTTGTTAGTCATAAGTGAATGATGCCCATAACGCATGGTCCGTAAGACTATGATCCACTTTCCTGTTCCAGTCATCTCACAATCCATTACAGGAGAGAAGAATCTTGCGATGAGTTGGAGGTCTGATGAATCGAACACCAATGCGTAGAAGGACGCTAAATTGGATTTTGGATGAATTGAAGACCCACTGAATCACATTTGATCCTGAGTGGCCTTTAATGGGAGCGAAGACCCGTACTCTACTCACTTTTCGAAAGTTGTGAGACATTAAAATGTAATTGACAGAGCTCAAAAATTCTATGGTAATCAATCAAACAACCATAATTGTATTTCAATGAGTGGTTTAAACTGACTTGTGGTTAAGAAGACCATATCTCCTTCAAAGAGGAACATTCCCACGAGCTTTGATCGTTCCCGTGAGTGTTCTTACAGAAAGAGAAATTTCAGGATAGTGGTCATAAATGAGATTACCTTAAAGGGTTCAAGGTCATTGTGAAGCATTGTGTTGAAAACTTCAAAGCCGATGATGACCTCAACAGCAGGATGATGCTAATGAGTTCCTTGTTCATCCACAGGTTCTTCTTCCGGTCCTCTCTGGTTTAGCGGAACCTCAGCCCGACCCATGACAAATGTGGAACTGCTTGACACTGGCCGCGTCGACGTACAAAGCAAGCGTTCGCCGGTCGAACAACAGCCAAAAACTACAGTTCGGGCTTTGTACGACAATCAGCGGCAGTCAAACAGGGCGACAGCTCCTCAACTCCGGGAGAAACACATTGCCAATTGCCGCCTTATTAATCGCACTCAGTCATGGGGTGGTGGGTTACGTTTGGCCGGAGTCGATCCGATATGCAACGGCAAGTGGGAAGTCACACATTCGTTCGATTATGCAGAATCTCCATTTGAAAGTACTTTGGTACCTAGGAATAAATCACCGACACAAGAACGAAAGACCACCCGGGATGTAAAACCGCATGCAGTAGGTGCACTTACATCATATGCGGAACCCGGATCATGGCGCCCAAAGATACCGTACGTGAGCATGCCGGACGTGAATGGAGCGATTGCCAGTCAGTACCAACGCAACGCTGAGGTCAAGTCGATGGAGCCTAAACCACAGGGCTTCATGCTGAGTGTTCTGGACTGCAAACCACCCTCAGCAAAAAAACCTCGCATGACCGACCAATCAAATGAGGAACAGCAATGGGTGCCTACTGACTATGTCACTGAGAGCGACGAGGAGCTTTCAGCGGGTACGGCAATCATGGATGATTATGGCTCGGTACTCAGCGGGTCAGCGATGCCAGAAATTCAGGAAAACCCACTTCGAACCTATTCGAGCACAGGACTGAAGATGGACATTGGTATTTTGACCGTTAAGGCCTCGGCTATGGGTTCAGCTGAGAGTCCAAAGCGTTTGGTTCCCCGATTGTATATAGAACCAAACTGCAACACCAACGCAGATTCCAACAGTCCGGTTGACTTGGTCGGTGGCGATCAGATTAGCAGCAGCAGTGGCGGTGGTCCGTTCTCACCGGGTTCGACAGTTCGCACCAGTTCGTTGAGCAATTCCAACGGTCACTCGGAAAGTGAAGATCCATATAGGTATTCTAGAGGTGAGTGCAGTTTATATCAAAACGTAACACTTTCCACAAATGTCTAGTGAGTTCTTGACCTTAGCACATAGGGAACCCGAATAAAGAGATCTGGATAACTCTTTTGCCTGACTAGTTAGTTAAGTTCAATCCATATAACGAGTCTTAAAATGTGTGATACAGACTTTACAAGATCAAAGCGTCACTATAGAATCCAACCACGGGAAACCAGATGTGTCTAATGTGCTGCCAACTGTTTGATGTTTTAATTAGGATGAGTCAGATCAGTTTTTCAACCACAAACCGCGAAGTAAGGGGATTCCAGCTGCTACACTCAAGCCAGAACCTCACGGTTCATCCGTTCTGAGACGTTTGAAAATGAGCAGAATTTTGTTAAATTTTGAAATTATCAAATTGACCTTCAGAGTTTCGTCCATTGTGATGTAAAGTAGTTGAACGGTTGACTGTCAGACCGAGTTCGATAATCACCAAAATGTTGGCTTCGAATTTACTTAGATATTGTTTGAGTGACTCTCAGCCCCTGACGCAGTTTCCCATTTTTCTCTTCTGCAGCTTCTCAAAACGAATACAGTAGTGAATCGGATACCCAATCACAACCCCACCTTAATCTAGATCCACTGAATACAAGATCCTCACCAAAACTATTTGCAATCGAGCAGAACTCTATGTCTCCCAACCAAAGTCCCTTACGAGAAAGTGAAACGGTGTTCACTGTCCGAACCTGGTTCAAAAAAGCGTGCACTGACTCCACACAACCAACGAAGGACGCTTTTGTATACGAATATGAGGCATGAAACCCTCCTTGTTTTCGAATTATCTGTTGTACAAAACAAACAGACAAGAAACGAAAAATAGCATTATTAGTTCAAACACCTTTTTACCCCTCCCTTCAATCGTATACCGTGTTATTTTTCGAAGTGCCTGCCTACTCTCCGCCCTAGAACTACATTCATGTGTGTGGGCGTCTGTGCGTCTTAGAGTTAGTATTTCCGTCCTCTCCTTTACACAAAAAACAACGCCCTCCGCCCCCTCCCCTCTCAGCTTAGTGAGATACATTTTGGGTACGCACAGATTCATGCCACAATCCTCACCAGTGCCTCTCCATCTTTTCGCAGTCAAAAACCTCAAGCATACATGCAGCTAGCGCACACACACATAGAATGTGTTCGGTATTCTTCTGTTTGCGCATGTCTTTTTGTCCTCGATTTTTTTTTAAACTAAGCGAGTATTCAGGTCCAGATATGCCATAACTTGCCTTAGCCAGAGTGGGGTTCTTCCAAGTGGTTCGATGACTACATTACTCCTGCTGTGTTAGGTACGCGTCTCTTTCTACTGTATAGCAACATCACCCGAAAGTGCAGTTTGGTATCTGCCTGTCCTTGTTGGCATTATACCCTCCACCCCTTGTTCCGTTTTTTTCCAATGCCTGCTGATCAGATCCCATGCTTTCTACTCTTAGACAACACACATGCGTACATGTGAGCAGACAGACAAGCATTTCACAGAAACGGTTCGAGTGAAACGAGTTAGTTTTGACGGTATACCGAAGGACATGTTAGTCTCTTCTACTACGGATCAAAGATTGTCAGCTATCTGTTGTACAAAACGACTGGTGTCCGAGCCTCTTCCTATCAAATAGTGAATGAAGAACACAAATGGATGACAAGTATGACCTTACTTCTCACTTTCCGGTCACCAGATTCGCTGGCTGGGTAACCTTTGTCGAAAAGAATTCGGTTTTTGAGCTCGACATTGCGCAGTGTTTAGCGTGTACAATTAATGACCGGAAGGTCCGTGGTTCGAACCTGAATCCGGTATCTCAAGTGCTTGCGTCTGGTCTTGGGCAACATGGAAATATCTGTCCTCGTGCTTACTTTCGGATGCGTAGCAGCTGTGCACTAAAGGATGTTAAAGCTGATCAATAATTGTTACCATTACTTGGTGCAACGGTCCAAAACTCAAGATCGTCTACTTCGACAAATTTCGTTTTTACTTTGGTCGTTTATAATCAAACAACAAACTGGTAAGCAATGTCATCATTGTCAGCTGTAAGAACCGCGTACTTGTTGTACAGTGGTTGTAGCTGCCACAGTTTCGTTCACCGATGATTTGGGGAAGTGGGGTAGATAGCTGCGCATTGGAGGCGGGGGCTGATAAATTGGTGCATGAATACGGCACTGCCAGTGGACTTGTAAGCGGGGGAGATTGGGAAGGGAGCTATACATTGAAGGCAATAGCTTGGACGCATGAGCACGGGCGAAACTGTCACTTAAGCATGGATTATGAACGGGAAGCATCAAACATCAGTCGTACGTAGAAGTAAAACTGCCTTTGAAAAGCGACGAAACTCAATTTGGATAACTGGCAATTGTTTCTGACCAACTCTTGTATCATGCGTTGGTCGAACCATCTACGTAGACAGAATAATAGGTCAGATAACAGGTGCGGGTATTTGCGAAAGTCAGGCAACATAGAGCCATTCTGTAGGTTACAGTCCTGTTTTCCACACTCCGAACTTTAGTCTCAGAGCTCCTGGTTGATTGATGGAGCCGCCCATCATGGTATTCTCTATTTGGGGAAGGGGTACCCTGTGCTTGTGACACACGGTTGGCGAGATCTGTAGGCGAATTAAACTATGGTCGTTTGACACCATTTGACCAGTCAGTGGACTAGTGACATTTCAACCACAATTATACCACAAAGCCGAGAAAAGTTTTCCATTTAGCTCTGCGCTTTGATAAGCTATTCAAAATCCATTTTTAGATAGAAGATTGATTAACGGTCTTGTTCCAGCTGTATTTCACGTCGATATTGGCCTCTCGTGAAGATGGTAGCTTCACCGGTCAGAAAGGTTAGCAGAAACATGAAAAAGAACGTGGTACTATTAATGGAAACTTTCGCCACCATTCGAACTGTTTGCAACCACGTACCCAAGATTGGAAACAAATTGTTAGTAGGACGCGCAATCCCCATGACAGTGAGACGGACGACAAACGCAAACACAATCAAGACAAAATCATCAGGCGCGACTGATTGGCTACTAATTATAAGGGTCTCCGCCCATAGGTCGCGGAAAGTGACCAAAGCATTCCACTGTCTACCATTTACCTTGAGCTCCACTCTTCACGCAATGCACATGGGCTATTCAACTGTGAGATGAATGAATGTCCCTGATCAGAAATTGAGGGACTCTAGAAAAAAAGACGGGTGATTGTCTAGCCTAGTCAAGGAAAGACCGGGGTATTGATGCTAGCCTTGGTGATATGGTGCGAATTTACTGAGCATAAGATCCGTGGTTCAAACCCAATCTCTGCCTCTCAACTTCCCCTGTCTAGGCTTGGGCAACCTGGCGGTATCTCATCCCTCGTGATTCCTCCGGGGGGCATGGCAGATAGGTGCCGAATGTTACAGCTGAACGGTTTTTTAGTGACATCCTACCGGCAACATTGCGATTGATGATCGCGAATGCATTACAATACCATTTCGAGCTCAACCGAAAATCAGAAACGATCTCATCGTCAAAAAGTATGTATCTGAAAATTGGAAAAAACGGCTAACAATACACAAAGGATCGGACGATGTGGTCGGCCGCACGAGTGAATTCAAATGGCGCGGAGAGGTCGAATGCCAAGTAGCCGCAGACAGGTCGCTAGGATGTTTCTCGCAGCGATGAAAATTGCCATGCGAAGCTAGCAGAGGAGAGGAAATGCATTCTGGTAAGTTGCCCAAGCAATTCATGAGGCCAACATCACATCAAGCACAGCAGTAAACCGCTTCAAATGTGTTTGCATAAAGCGACTTACGTAGAGGCCAGTAAAACGGAGTGGTATACAACAACTCGGTCTATTTGCGAATGATGGAAAAGACTGGAGTACTCGGGCCTGGAAAATGCTTTCACATCGTGAAGAACGTTGTGCTGGCGGCAATACCTGAATAAGACGACAGTTAATGAGGAGATATGCTACAGGACATCTCTGGTGTCAACCCGTTTGTCAACCCGTACCCACCCGTGAGCTACGGCATGTGTGTAGGCGCCCTTCAAGAGTGCGCTCGATTCTGTCGATCGATTAGTTCGTCTCAATACGATTGCGCAAAATTTCGTGAATATTATGCATCTGTGTACTTACATGCTTTTTGGTGTATGAATGCATCAAGACCTCTCCGAAAACTTTCCTGCAAGCACTGGTATATGACTGGTGTCCACTCTCACATTTCGTTGTTGATGAGATAATGAAGGTTTCCATAACTCCGGTGTTTAGGTCTCTCCGAACGAGAACCTTTCCGACCCAGAATACGCAGATGATATTGTACTCATTTTTAAAAAACAATGGGAAGCGCAAACACTAAATGAAAAGTTGACTGAGATCACCCACTCTTTCGGCATGTGCTTCGCACCCATAAAGTGCGGAATCTAAAAGTGCCCTTGAGAATTCAAGGAGTGATACTGGACGCTGTTAGCTCTGACGGTAGTATGACAGACGAAGTCAACGCGTGAATCTTGAAGGCGTTTGCCAATTAGTGCCACTTGTGGGATCAAAAAGGCATCTCAGTAGATCTGAAAGACGCGCGTGCGAAACTGGACTACGGTCTGTATTGGCAGCAAGACTTGGTCACTTCAAGTGAAAGATGTATGAAGTCTTCAGGTCTTCGACCACCGATGTCTCGGGAGTATGGGCAAAATCGACTGGAACAGGTGAATTCGCACTGAGTTTATCAGGAGATGGGTTTTTGGTGAAGCAGAGGGTAATTCTCCCAAAGAATGCATCACGACATGAAAGCTAAGGCGGCTGGGATATGTGTTGCGAATGTCGAACTACCGTCTGCACAGATAAGCGCTGGTTTCCCTGCTTAGTTCGGATGGCGGAAACCTAGATGTGAACAGAAGCTGACATGGCACAAGGGAATGAAGGATGTTACGAAACGCATAGGTGCCATTGGTGTTGTTCGCCTTACAGGATGGAATCCACGTGACCATTCATGTGATTGGCTGCGGAAACTGAACGATATGGAGGTTAACCGGAGTCAGTGGCATTCACGCTGTCAGTTTCTGTCCAGATTGTCTGAGTGCAGGAGGTGGAGGCACCCCGGTTGTTTGTGGAAGGCTAGCTCCAGGTCCCCTCCCTCGCCTATTTCTCCAATCTTTCGATTATAAGGTTTTGACATGATGCGACGACAACGAAGCACGGGCGTTCGGATCTGGCGCTGCTGTCAATGATGATGATGATGATGGTGATTCTGACTTCACCGAGGATACACTCGCATACTGTGGTAACCGGTGTCGTTCAGAGTGGAATACAACCATCGATGTGGTGTGCACCCTCTTGTAAGAGACGATTGTTCAAACAGTAAGTCAATATTAAGTCATATGGCTTAAATTTGCGTACATGGGGATGGATAGCTTCATTTAGTGTCAAAAGCAAATAAACCACCTTCAACTGAGAAATACTGTTGGGTAAAACGTTGCAGGTTTGATAGCATTTTGGGTTCGGCGCATTCTTGACACTTCCCGGGAAACAAACATCAATTGGAGTTTCAAAATCTTATGGATTCAAACATGATCTCTCCAACCACTTGTCGAAGGAACACACTCGGGTTGGACACACGGTACGTTTAAAAGACTGGATATTGGTCGCAACAAGACAAAGTATGCAGGCTATAGTAGAAAACATACTCACCAGTCTGTCAGACTCGCGTGTGCAGATGAGGACGGGGAGACCTTTCCACGCGGCATTAATGTGAGACCTGGATCACAAAAAAAACGAATGAGAGAAAGATAGGGAACAAGCTATCTATAACAAGACGCCAGAATAAAGACAGACGGATACCGCTACCAGCTGGTAATGTGCGACAGGACTTCAATGTACGCAGTGGCGTCGCACGAGTCGGTGGATGACAAGTGAGATAAAAGCACCCTAGAGAGGAGAAAGGAAACCGCAGAACGGGAGACAACCCGTACTCAGTAACAGTTAGGCCTGTTTAACATACACCGCGTACTTGGGCCACGTCCACCAATGACACATCAGTGACATGTATCGTTCACTTACTGCATCCAACGTGTAACCCAGTGCATTGGACACACGGTTTGATACGTTAGAACCTCGTCACAGCAGGTTTGTTTGGATTTGAAAGAAAGTTCCTTCTGGATGCCTTGTGACAGTCTTGACCAAGTATCCATTTTTTCGATCGCTTCAGTCAACTCCGCTCGACTAGCCGCATTCTAGGAAAGTCGGTCGTTCGTGGCGGCCGTCTCCATGGAAAGTGCTACTTGCGTACGTCATCAGAGACCTTGCAAGATAGACATCGTGGTCAAACAAGCGTGTCGCCTTCATGGCACAACCACTTTGCTCCCATAACAATACAAAAACCTATCACCATCGTTCGATATCACCGCCTCCACTGAGCTATCTCCAAATCAGTTTCCTCATGATGAAAGACGGTTGAGGCACTTCCATTTTATGATCAAGGATAGCCCTTTGTACCCCTACCCTATGCTGAGTGAAAACTAATGAAGGCAGGACAACAAATTACGAGAGACCCAAAGAGTAATCAGGCAATTCGCCCGGTAACTAGAGCGATTCAGCATCAACCAACTGATGTGAGCATCAACTTTTCGGGGAACGGAACTGTAGCGGTTGGAATCATGGTGCCGAGCCTCAAAGGATAGCAATATTTTACGAATACAGTGGACCTAGTGTGTGAAAATCGCGATCGATTCAGGTAATGTAACTTACACATCTGCGTTCAGTACAAGGAACTGAAGTGGAATAACAGTATCTACTCTTCAGAAATCAGCACTGGCTGTTCTTCTATTCAATGTTAGAATTGGTCGAGCATCTACTCGTGCACTTCTAAAATATATCTAACCGAATGTAAGTGGGGGGGGGGGGTTG